AAAAAAAAACTCGGAAGATGGTAGTAGGATGAGAATGTGATTCAGAAAAACATCAAATTCAACCTCAGCAGCCGAGACAACGGGTCTATGACTTCCCACGGGCTCTCCCGGAGGAAATTTCAAAATACGACCCCTCCTCCAAGTTACATAGTTCAGAAGACCTCAGCGGTGATTTTCAAGAAATTTCCTCCAAAGTCAGTGAAATACACCGCTAGCAAGAGTTCATGTAATAGTGAAGTTTCAAAAAAGAGAGTAATAGTATACATAAGCAATAACCATCTCCTTGAAAGAAGTAAACTTGAAAATGAAGTTTAACGAACAATAAGTAGAGAAAAAGCAAGAGAGCACAAGAAAAAGGCGAACATCATGACCGAGAGCATGACTGGATGGTTTTTGTCACGCACAGTTTTTGTCACGCAGTCACATACTGACTCAACGTTTCCAAAGCAATCCATGAAAACTGTCACTCGAGCTTAGCCAGAACTAGTAAATTACCGTGATTCGATGGATTCCTTAGTGAACATCCAACTACTAAAGACAGGCTAGTAGAGATTATGTTTTGATGAGTTAAGGAGCTCAAAAAGATGGCTTACTTTAGTTCTTAATTAATTACGAGAAAAACTGCTCAGTTGCCCTTTAGATAACATTATTCGAAAGGAAATATAGTAGGAGAGACTTAAAAGCTTGGAGCTGGCTAAAGATAAAGCTAGGTTAGAAGCTCACTAGACCTTTGATGGCTAAAAAGGTAGTGAGAGTGAACGAGAATAAGGTTTCATTTCGAGAATTACAAAAATAGCAGACCTTCAACCCTTTGGGAGATAGACCTCTAAAAAACTGAGGGTCATCAAATAGGAAAGCGAAAAAGGGTCAACACGAAGGTAATCACGAAAATGCTGAATTCAAGCCATAACTCAGCATTTCAGGGACAGTTTGCGCAAAATGTAGCACTAAACAGTAGTTATTATGATAGAAGAAATCTTAAAACACCAAATTACAAGGGAAAGAATTGAAAGGACAAGGCTGAATTACGTCAGACAACCCGGTGACAGGTGTGACTGCAAAAGCACGTCCCACCGTTTATGAAAGATTTTGCAAAGTTTGACCCCCTCGTAATCTCCTCCTCTGGTAGGACCCATCCCACCCTTCTCCCCATTCTACCTGCCTTCTTCCTTAATTTCTCCTTTCTGCCACTTTCCTGGTGATACACTCCCATCCACAATTATGATTCGCAGCGCTGCGTAATTTTCCGATTGAATCAGTGAAAAAGATTGTTCAGGTGTAGATCAAGCATTGACCGTAGCTCTCCTGGCTTTGCAGGCACTTTGATGTTGGTGAAAATGTTCTGGAATACGCGACTTCTCCCACCCCCTCCCCCACCCAATGCTTTAGCACGACCCCGAAAGTTCTTGCCTTAACAAATTTCCTTCACAATTTGCCTATCGAGCGGTTTACGGTGGGGGGGGGGTGGAGAATAAGACTCCTCCCATAAACTATAGAAGTACCAGTCTTGCCTCGGTTCCAACTAGTGGTACACGCAGAATAGGTCAAACAAGAAAAAACAACAACTGCATTGTTTTCGGAGAAGAAATACGACTCCTACTGGACCTGCCCTGCCTGCAGGCATAGCTCACCAGTGGCGAGCTGACTGCGTCTAGGGCAAAATGTTGAATAAATTAAAAAGGACAGGTACACAGCGAAGGCTCAAAAAAGAAGGATAAGTTCCAGGGTGTAGATGAAACAGGCCAAATGCTATAGAGTAATCTCAAAAAAAGGGTGGAAGGGGTAAACCCTTCCTGTTTTTAACTGAACCTAAATAATAGTAGGGCAGGTTCCAAAAAACTGAATATTGATGCGAATCAAAGCAAAATAACGGATATGCAGAAAAGCGAAAGACATACCGGACAACAACCGCACTGATCGAGTACGGTATGCTCGCATTGTGGTTCCTGACACACTGTTGCACAACGTTCCGGACAGTCGTGCCCGTGTAGCTGGACTTGATGGTCCTGCCCCAGCACTGTTGCGGCTGACGCTAGCGCCGCCACTGCCGCCGCCAGCCACCACAGCAGCATCTATCGCCTCTAGAGTCGTCCCGGCGCCGACATTCGTCGACACTCACTCTCGCCACTCTGCGTCTTTGTTCGAGATTTGTTTGTCGTTTGCGCTCTCCTCTTCGGCTGTGCTGTCTCCTATTGGTCCCGCCCACTTCAGGCGGCCAGATTCAGATTGACAGAGTCGACAGTACACGAGACTAGGCACGGTAGTCAGCTGGAAATGGTAGCATTAAAACATGGAAACAAAAACGAAACAGAGTGGACGTATTTGCACAACATCAGCGCTACAGTAGGACAAAACAACAGCGACCGCTGCGACAAATATCCATAGTACAACTGAAGAAGAAAAAGGTAGCTGGCAAAGGAGAACGTTAAAAGGGCATGTGAAGGAGGGGGAAAGCATAAGGGATGGAAAGAAAATCAAAAAAGCCTGTTGTGGCAGGAAAAAGCTGTGAGTAAGGTGGTTAGTAGGAGGTTTCCAATAAATTTGGGAAAAGTCTCAGCGGAACTGAATCTTCCGCCAGATCCTGGAGCCCAGGACACCGTGAAGCGAGGGGAATGGATTGTTCAACACGACCCTCCTTCATCCTTACTAGCTCTCTCTATTACCCTCCCAGCCCCCGCCCCTGCTCTTCTCTAAAGTCCAACTTTCCACTTCCTTACGTCCAACATCTAATAACTCCTCGAAAGTTTCCTATTTCTAACGACTCTTTGAAAAAGAAACTTTTGCAGAGAAAGTTTAGTATGTACTGCATTTATTAAAGCTACTAATCTCCATTCTTTCGAAGAATCTTCAATCCCCTTCCCACTAACGTACATCCCTCATACTGCCCCATTCTCATTGACTAACACGATCCCTCCAGGACGACATGGATGGTGTGCCCTTTTACTAAAAAAACCGCGAATTAAGCGTTTTCCACACATTATCATAATCAAGTAGTTCACTGGAAACGACCGATCAGGAAATCTCTGTTCCTCTTGAGAGTCTCCCATAAAAATGAGCCATGCACGTGAGTTCAGCCTATAATCGTGGACAGAAGTGAATGGTTTGGGAAGATAATTGAATGATTAGGGAAGAAAACAACGGTTCATAGAGAGCAGCCGATTTTCATGATGAAATAAATGCTTGGCTCCAAGAAGGTCCAACAAGTCTGCTGAACTCTAGTCCAAACTATTGAAATAGTGAGAGCTTGAATATATGCCCGAGCTATGTGAGCAGGTGTCAGCTTCCACTTCACTTGAATTGTCATGGAATTTACTATCGCAAAGTGTCTCAACTCGTCTGTCAACCCCCTTTTTATTCCCTTTAGGTGTGCAAAAATGTTTAGAACAACAGCTGGTGTTCTAAGCACTGGAAGCCTTGCTCGTTCGTTGTCGTGGGCGTCACTGCGACTTGGCGAACAGTTGCATCTCGGGCCGAGTTCACACCTTGCAATTGCGGAGTTTCCGCGATCGAGCGCCGATCGATATCCATCCATTTCCTTGGCGCACCTGCCCAAGGCATCGAGTCTTCCAGATGGCCGAATCTCTGAATCTCCCAAAAAGTAGGATCGACGAGTTCCTCTAAAGGGCTGATCGCTGAGTTTCTCAAAACGAAAGTTCGCTCAATCTCCGAAGCGCCGGATCGCCGATTCTCCCCAGTCGCCAGGCCGATACCTACACTTTCCTCCTAGCGCAACCTCTTGATTCACTGAACCTTCTGAATCGCCGAATCTTCTAAGTCTCGGTCTTTCAATGCGGCCTTATACGCCACAAAATCGGGTAGGTACTGGCATCGAGCATGTATAGATTTTTTTGGTAGGATACGTACGATCTAAAAATTCACTTAATATCTGAAAATTTTTGGCTGGCGCTTGAACCCGGTTGGAGACCTAGTATTATAGTTTGAAGCAATGATACAGCACACTCGCACCCTAACTCAATCCAAAGGTAAAGCATTGAAGTTGAAAAGAAAAAAATGAATTTGTTTGAACACCAAACTGTGTAAAATCTCGCATAGAAGGAATTCATTTCTCATTTCAATGCCATGAATAAGCATCGTGTGGCGATTACAGTAGCGCACGGGCTGACTCGCCGGCTCACTTCAAGGAAATAGATTCCACTATGCCTTTACAATAAGAAAACAATGAAAAGTTCCGTGCCCGCCAGCTCTTAGATGTGCAATGTTACGACATTGTAACAGTCACAGAAAACTTTGTGCGGTTTTAGGGGTGTTCATTTTCACAAATTCTACCTCAGCATTCATATAAGTCAATGGATAATTTGTAATCTTGATCCACTGAAAATCCTCATCAAACCCCACTTTATGGAAAGAGTCTGAAGCTCTCGGAGGCGAACTAGCACGTGACATGCCAGCGCCGAAAAGCAAGCTCAGCTCATTTTTTGTCTGCCTCCGCCCACTTAGAGCAGACCCCACCCATAGTATGGTGCTGCCCCGACCGCTTTCGCGTCCCGCTGCCTCGATCCGCTTGTCTTGAGTGGCTGTGGACAACTTCAGGATAGCAAGAACTATTGGTAGAACTTCTCCGTTGACTTGAACATGACCGATTTCTCTTTTTCATCAGGATAATTCTTGAGCAGTAGGTCAATTAGAAGTACAGTCCTCATCATTGCGTGTCAGCCAGTATGAGTGTGCACACTGTTGAAGCCGTTCTCAGCCTTTTTGTTGAAACGCGTATGCGACAAAAAGTGGTAGAAAACGAGTAATACGGAGGATATAATACAGTAATGTCACTTGCCCGCTTCAACAACTTTGGCCCCGTGCCAAACGCAGCCGCACTGAACCGACAGTACGTAATGATGAGGACTGTAACTGGTGGTATGTGTGCCTCCATGCATCCGACAACCTTCCTTTGGCTGTTATGTTCTAAAAAAACCGGGTGAGCCAACTCACTCTACGTTCTTCGTGACCTGTCTCCGCCCATACGACCAGCGCGGAGTAGACCTTATAACTTCTCGTTTTTTTCCTAGATTTTTGGAACCTTGAGCGATAGGACCATTTTGCGCAATCGAGTAAGTCCAATTTTAGACATCTCATCCCAAAAGAGTCATTGGTACCTATTACTTCGTCATCTATTATAACACCCCTTAAGGAACAAAGCACAGAAAGGAATAAGATGGATGGGCGGGGCCGTCTGGGATAAGCGCTAAAGACATTTGTAGTTCTCTTTCAGTAAAATACACAGATACTGGCTGCTTTGTTTAATCTGATGTTTGATTATTCCCGCCTGAAGATCAAAGGCAAACTTCAGTGAATCCGATGGCAGTGCCACAAACTTCGCTTTCGAAGGCAGGCCCCGCGTTCAAGAATGGTGATTGTGTGACTCAATTACTAATGACGGATTGGTAGTCAAGGCAGTAGTGGAGAAAATCGCCGTAAATGCCCCATATCGAACTCCTTGCTGAGCCACGCCCGCACGTGCACACGACGAAGAATGGGTGTGGTCGGACGAGTTTTCTTTTATTGGTACTGGCTCTTCCTTTCTATAATCTCACTCTCACCATTCCAAATGAGGAGACAGTAGCGGAACAACCACATCGCGAGAAATTTTTCAGAAAAGAAAATTTGGCGTTGCCGTGGGCAAAGGGCGGGACCGTGGCTCCTCGCGAGTGTGTAGCGCTTTCATCACGTATTTTTTCAGCTGCGAAAGTAGTGCATTCTCCACGTCTGCAGGGTCGATTACAATGACGAAGAAAGGCCTCTGAACATTGACTTAACGAGGAGTGTACCTATAGGAGCAGATGCTGCGGTGATGGAATGAGAGGAGGACTGGCGGAGGCTGAAGACATTTGTGCTTTTGCTATTGGCGCCTCTTCTTTTAAATCGGTAGAAAAGAAGAGAGCAGCAGGGGGGGATTCCCAGCTTACCCTATTCTTTCGCTCGTTCTCTCGGATTGATCCGTGGGGGGGCTACGGCGTAATTATGTTCGTTGCAATAAGATCTTGTTAAATTTTTTTTTGAAGTTCTCGCAACATTCTTCTCACTCACGTTCATAACGTCTCGATCGGAGGGTGCAGAAGAGCAGACATGACGTGGTTTAGCCGCACCAGAGAGTGGCGCCACGGCACGCTTTCTCGCTGCAGAATATTTTTGTACTACGATCCCTATCTATGCTGTATCACATACTGCTAACATCTTACTGGCTTCCTCCACTCCTATCACTTTCCCACTTCCAGAAAATTTCCGAAAATTCCCTTCCCTTAGAAACACTACCCCGCCATTAAAGCGACAAGAATACGACACCCATGCTCCCATGGGAGTCTCCAAGCGCGTGCATAGCGCGCGAGAAACAGGTAAAATCAACTATTAGAAAAACTTCCCAGGTCAAATACGTTCCCACACCTCCAACGACCAAATGCGATCCCCTGCTGAGAATTGCCTACCGTACGACGTGTCCTGGCGGCCATCTCTGAGGAGCATAACGCTCATTTGAGCTTGGCTTTAGTCCGACGCCCCTCCTCCAGAAAAAACCCTATACCCTCCAGAAATAACTGGTCAAACATTTCGTCTTACAATAACTTCCTGATAACAATGGAATGGACAAAGAATGATCAGTGTTCCATAAATCCATGGGCTACTCACAATTTTGACGGGAACGCTTCCGGCAAAGGCGGCGATAAGCTGATAACGTCAGGAATTTGCCATTATCATTTCAGAATTCCAAGAATCCATATGGGAATGAGTAATAATGTAGGCGGTCACATCATAGGATTCACAGATCTTTTTCGCAAATGGTTAACTATTACGAAACAAAAATGCTTTGCGATAAGAATGGCATTCCAAGTCGCTCAGATGTTTGACGTGTGGCCATAAGTCATGCAAAAGTCAAACAAAAACAAATGAGTCATATGAAGCCGATGAATGGAGGAAGAAGCATGAAATCTTATTGTTCTGCGGCTAAACCACTAATGCTTTACTTTTCTTGCTTATTAAATAGGTCAATACCAAAGTAGTCGCCCAGAGATGCTCGACGAGTGGGGTCATGTTAGAGTGGCAAGGGTGTGTGGCTTGTTTGCGA